GCATTTTGCTGAAGCATCTACACAGGATTGGCAAGTGTAAAATGCAGTAGAACCTTCATGGTCAACCACCTCCCTACATTTGCCACCTCTTTATGTTGACCTAATTTTCATAGCCTGGACAGGCACTGCCTATACTCAGCAGAAATTCCTTACATTGACCCTCTTCATATGTTGACCAGTTTTTTACAGTCCCTTGGGTGGTCCACTTACAGAGGTTCTACTGTAGTATCAAACTACTAGATTCAAATTGGATAAGAAGCAGAGCATCTCCTTCTCGTAATGGGCACTAATTCTAAAGCCCCATAACAATTATATATGGTTCAAATTCCTCCCATCAGGCCATTCTTCAGCTGCTCTCCTAGCTGTCCTGCTAGGCATTGCCTGACGGTTTATGGCTCTTTGGCAGTTGCCATAGTAACCCTGCTTACAAAGACGACACAGTGAGAGTGCCTGATGCCAGTCCCAACTCCACCCTTATGAACTGTGGTATTTGAGGAGTCACTTAAACTTTCTATGCCTTATTTCCTCACGTGTCGGACCTATACTGGGGATAGTGGTGGAGTCTACTTGATAGGACTGCTGTGAAAGTTAAAAGTGTTAGTTAATGAAGAGAGTTGGCTCGGACTTAGCACTCACCTGGTGTGTGAAGAGGAGACCTGAATCGGAGGTAACCACAGCTTCGGTTTGCCTTACAGTTGACAGCTTCCTGTGATGCACCTGTTCATCCTTCCTGGAAGCCGGACCAGCAATTCGCCTGTGATACCGGCCTTTGGGAACTTCTTGGCTTATAATAGTTTCCAGGTCTCCGATTCTTGGTATTCAGAAAGCCACATCGTACTTCTTCATCCATAGTACAGCAATCAGTGTCATAATGACGTTAAGAATTAATTGAAAAGGCACAGAAAATTCTTAGCCACATTTTGCCTCTTCAGGAGGACGGAGGCAACAGAGATTTGCTGTTAGTTCACTGCAGTTCGGATCTGAGGGCTCCCTCTAACCGTTTGGTGGGGTTTTGTGTGTTTGATTCCTATCTTAAGACTGGTTTTGATCTTGGATCCTAGTTCTGTTGCACACTCAGACTTTTGACTATGGGCTCCCCCTTTCATCTGTCTCATCTCTTTTCTGGGGCTCCAGATTGCAGTATTGACAACCCCTTTAAATGCCATCCTGAGAATAAAATGCTTTCTCTTCTATGTGCCTAGAATCATTGTATTTTCCACATCTTTAAATACACAAAGCCCTGAAAAGTTACATGACATATATATATAGAACACATGTAGGCCCACAGCTCTTATTCTGCAGTTTTGTGAGAAACCTGTTAACCTTCTAGCACTTTAAACTCGTCATGCAAAAAGACAAACAGATGCTACCACATCAAATCAGGCCCTCCGAATTACCTGCATAAATAGTGTACTTCTCATTACTTTGGCTTGAAACAGAGAATACGTGATTCCTCTTCCTTCCTTGCAAGCATACCCTATTTGCTGCCCAAAATTGCCAGAATTTTAAACATAATATTATTCATTAAATAATTAATGTGTACTATAGTCATGTACGGCCTTCTGGTAGACAGTTAAAGACTCTACCCCTGTGAGAAAGTACAAGATGAGTCAGCCACTGTCCCACCCACATACTCCAATGCAGGACAGGTCATGGTGCATGTGAGTATGGAGTGGGCTAAGGCCTGTAAAACATCACACATGCCAAGTGCTTAAGACGCATAATAAAAATTTCAGACGATGCCAAAGAACTGTAGGACTCTAGCAAGTCAGTGTGTGCTTCTGCGACTCCCAGGCCACAGTTTCGTGAAGATGGGGTGCGACCTACCTCTGCTGTTCCCCCTTCCTCGCTCTTCACCAGTCACCCCACCAGAACTCAGTTCAAACCATGGCCTCACTCAGCCTCAGTGGTGTTTTAGCCCCTGATTTCTTATCTCTTCCTTTCAGCCGTTGTCAAAGAATAGATAGGATCATGGCATAGGATCATGGCATTTTCCTGCCTAAGCACTTCAGTGGTTTTATAGATAAATTTTAAATACGAAATCTCAATCAGATACAGATGCTCACTGGCATGTGATAGGGTTACTTCCCTATAAACCCATCATAAATTTGAAAATATTTTTAAGGAGAAAGAATATTTTCCACTTACAACATTTTCAACTGCTGATAGCTTTATGGGGACTTAACCCCATCTCAATTGGAAGAGCATACTGGATACGGATCACTGGACCATAATAAAGCCAGAAAATGATAAGTCAAACCATCTGAAGTCAGGTCCCTGCTGTACTGGCTGTATCCCACATCCTTCTCTGTCTGTGCCTTGCCCAGGGTGGGTCTTTTTTTTTTTTTTTTGCAATGTCTGTTTATTTATTTCTTCCTTTGTAAAAATAGTACTTATGGGGGCAGTGCCTGGCTCAGTGAGTAGGGCGCCAGCCCCATATACCGAGGGTGGTGGGTTCAAACCCAGCCTGGGCCAAACTGCAATGAAAAAACAGCCAGGCTTTGAAGCAGGCACCTGTAGTCCCTGCTACTCGGGAGGCTGAGGCAAGAGAATCACCTAAGCCCAAGGAGTTGGAGGTTGCTGTGAGCTGTGACATCACAGCACTCTGCCAGGGGTTAATAAGTGAAACTCTGTCTCAAAAAAAGAAAAAAAAGTACTTTTTTGAAGATGTAGCTCAAATACTACTTCCT